AGCCAGCATGCTTTAAGATGGGTGGACTTCAACTCCCAGAATTCCTAAACCAACATGGCTTAGGTTGTGTGGACTTCAACTCCCAGAATCCCCTAGCCGGCATGCTTTGAGATGCTTTAAGCAACCAAAAGGTGAAAAAAAACCCCAACCCAGCCTTCCTTCCTCCCAGTCCGAGACTCCACTCTTTGTTGTTGTGTCAGTTAATAACAAAACCCAGCGAGACTTTGCTGTCACTCAAGCCAGCTGGTTCTTGCTTGAGCTGCTGGATCCCGGCTGCGGGACTCATTCAAGGTCACGGGGAATCTCTGGTAAGGGATCAGGTGGTGAGGAAGCTTAAGGAAACTGGGAGGGCATTTTAGCAAGGAGGTCGTGTAATTTAGTGCAGAGATCTCCAACCTGAGCAACTTTAAGACTTGTGGACCCAGAATTCCCGCTTTTTTCTAGCTTACCAAGAAGTAGGTTGTGGTCTACTTTGTCAACCTGTCTTGCCACAGTTGGGAATCGAATCCCTGCCGTTGTTAAGCAACACAATTGTTCAACGAATCCTGCTTCCCCCTTGGCTTGGCTTCGTCAGAAAGTCAGAACACTGCTATCCTGTCTCCCCTGGTCCTTCTCTTCATTAGACCAGCCAGGCCCAGTTCCTGTAACCGTTCTTCATATGTTTTAGTCTCCAGGGCCCATGCTTCTCAGCGACCAGAGATAATAATAAGACCCATAATCCAACAACCTCTGGAAAAATCGCCTTTGCTGCTGGGACATCTGCCCATGTGCAAATACCACGCAGATTTGAACCCATCTCTTTTCTCTCACTCAAGCGAACAAACTTTCTTTCAACTAGAAACGGTGCCTAAAAAAATGAGAGCATTCACTACCATTGCATTGTCCCCTTTCACACACCCCGCCCCAAAAAATACACTCACTCAGCCTGGGATGGGTGTTGTAGTTGCGTGTCACAGCTTGAAAATGTGCCTTGACCCCATCTGGAGCTCCTGGCAAACCCCGGATTCCGACATCCACCTTGGTAGCCATGGTCCTTAAAATAATAATAATAACGCTGGTTTGCAGGAAAGCAAGCCAAGCGTCCGGCAGTTTGCAGGGTTTTATACCATATCCAGAGGCTGCTAGGAACAGCTCTGACCTGCCCTGGGGTGTGTTGCTTTTGCACACAGCAAAAAATCTGTTTGCTGTAAACTTGGAGGCAGCTGCAAAGCCGGTCGGCAGGTTAGAAAGTTCCTGCCTCACCTGTGCTGTGCAGGTTTGTCCCAACAATGCTGCGATTTTCTCTTGGCTATGAACTCACGTCGGCCTTGGCTTCCTGCCCTTATTTTCCTGCTGTGCAAACGCGTTTCGGGAAATTGGGGGGGGGAGGGGGTTTCTTTTTGCCTGGTTTTGCAAAAAAAACCTTGACCAAGGAGATTCTTTGAGGAAGGCATGAAAGCAATCAGAGATGAACCCCTATTAACTTCTTCAAACCTTGGTTGCTTCCAGATAGGTGGGCTTCAACTCCCAGGATTCCCCTGCCACCCACACTCCCAATTCTGGGAGTTGAACTTCAGTCCACCTATCTTGAAAGTGGCAAAAGGCCTTGACCAAGGAGATTGAAACCAGGTTTAGAGGTGATACCTTGTTTCCCCGAAAATAAGACCCTGTCTTATTTTTTATTATTATTTTTTTGGCCACCAAAAATGGCACCAGGTCTTATTTTCGGGGGACGTCATCCATTGACTAACCTCACTTGCGCGCGTCACTCCTGGCCCCCTTTTTGCTGTCAGAGGCCTTGAGGAACTTCTTCTGCAGCTGGCAAGGCTTTCCTGAAGGCATCTGCAACCAATAACAGAGCTCTGGATCGATCCAGAACTTTGTTATCAGTTACTGAGGCCTTCAGGAAAGCTTTGCCAGCCTTGGCGGCTGCAGAAGAAATGGATCAGCAAGGCAGGTGTTGAGGGGTGCGAGGCCTGGCTGCAACTGTCCAAAGGTAAGTAGTAGGGCAGATCAACTCCCCCGTCCCCACCCTAGCTTAATTTTTACCCATGTATTCTGGAGTGGATGGGATCTTAATTAGGGATTATTTTGGGGGTAGGGCTTATATTGGGTGCATGTGTAAAAATCAAGCTAGGGCTTACTTTCGGGGTATGTTGTAATGACAAGGCAGTCGAGTTGTTTGATCATGATCAACTGAATCATGATGAACTTTATTGGAGTCTAGTCTTGCATTTATACACATTTTTAATTATCCTCCAACATTGGTTAACTTTGGTCACTGCTTAACTTTCGTTACTGTTTAGCATAATAGGAATGAACACAATTAATTATCTCTAGTTAAAGTCTAACATATGTTTACTTCCTCTCTCTAATCTTCCTTCAGATTAGTGACTTTGTTTGCCTGAGTTGTATTTGCTTGGAAACATTCTTTATCTGAGGTTTGCCATCCGAGATAGGAACATTCCTGCAATTACAACTCTACAGGGGTAGGTTGTATTTGGGGGGAAACAGGGTAGTTTTGTGCTATTAAATCCGAAGGTTGTCAGGGGGATTCTGGTAGTTGAAGTCCAGCCATCTTAAAGTGGCATACAAATCCTTGACAAAAGAGACTCTTTGAGAAAGGCATTAAAGCCATCGAAGGTGAACACCTTCTCCTGTTAAAACTCCTAATAACTTACTTTTTGCAAAGTTGGCAGATTTAAGATAGGTGTACTTCAACTCCCAGAATTCCCCTGGGAATTCCCCTGGCAGTGGGGTTCTGGGAGTTGAAGTCCAGCCATCTTAAAGAGGCTCAAATCCTCAACCAAGGAGATTCTTTGAAAAGAACATTAAAACCAGGTTGAGAAGTTTTAAAAGGACATTACAAGCAGGTTTCGTTTTGTGCCATTAAATCCAATGGCTGTCAGGGGAATTCTGGGAGCTGAAGTCCAGCCATCTGAAAGTTGCCATGTTTGAGAAGTTTGGATGGAGGGGAGGGTTGCACTTAATTTTTCTGGTGGTGGGGTGGGAGAGAAAGAAAACAGTTATAAATGGACATGGCTGCATCCTCCTGTCTCTTTTTCCTGAAGTTTGCGTCTTTTTGTTAAGAGAGATGTGCTAAGGTAAATGTTCTTTTTAAACCCATGTTTTGGCAGTGCCTAAATTTTAGGAGAAAGTAATGGATTGCATAAATATGATTGTCCAATCAAAGCTCAAATTCCCAGAGGATCATATTGTCTTGAACGAGAGGTGGTACCTAATTATGGCCACATATCGAAGCTTCAGCACTGGAAAAATAAATCTTACACTCAGTGGATTGAAAATCTGATGGCCCTCCCCAACCATGAGTGGATTGTGTGTGCAGGTAGTCCTCAAGTTATGGCCACAATTGAGCCACAAGTTGCTGTTCCTAAGCGGGATGGTTGTTAAGTGAGTTTTGCCCCATTTAACAGACAACAGATAATCAGAGTTGGAAGGGATCTTGTAGGTCATCTAGTCCAACCCTCCGCCCAAGCAGGAGACCCTACGCCATTTCTGACAAATGGCAGTCCATTCTCTTCTTGAAAGTCTCAAGTGATGAAGCTCCTACAACTTCTGAAGGCAACTTCTGTTCCATCGGTTGATTGTTCTCACTGTCAGAAAGTTTCTTCTTATTTCCAGGTTAAATCTCTCCTTGATCAGTTTCCATCCATTATTCCTTGTCTGGCCTTCAGGTGCTTTGGGAAATAGCTTGATCCCCTCCTCCTCTTTGTGGCAGCCCCTCAAATATTGGAAGGCTGCTCTCCTGTCTCCCCTGGTCCTTCTCTTCACTAGACTAGCCAGGCCCAATTCCTGTAGCCGTTCCTCATATGTTTTGGTCTCAGTCCCCTAATCATCCTGGTTGCTCTTCTCTGCACTTTTTCTAGAGCCTCAACATCTTTTTTATAGTGTGGTGACCAAAACTGGATGCAGTACTCTAGGTGTGGCCTTACTAAGGCTTTATAGAATGGTATTAGGACCTCACTTGATCTTGATTGTATCTCTCTCTTAATGCAACTTAGGGTTGCATTGGCTTTTTGGGCTGCTGCTGCACATGGCTGGCTCGTATTTAGCTGGTTGTCCACTAAGACTCCAAGATCCCCATCACAGTTCCTGCTATTGAGCCTGGTTTCACCCAATCTGTATGTGTCCTTTTGGTTTTTCTTGCCTAAGTGTAGGACTTTACTTTTCTCTACATTGAATTTCATTTTGTTAGATACGGCCCAGTGTTCTAGTCCAGGGGTCGCCAACCTTTTGGACTCAGGGACCACCAAACTCATAATTTTAGATCCCAGGGACCACTAACTGGTTCTGTGGGCATGGCCTAATTTGTGGGTGTGGCTTGGTGGTCATGTGACTGGCTGGGCATGGCTTGTATGTAAATATAAATATTTATATAAATATTGAATTTTTAGTTTAAAAAAAGAGCAACTTTTACCCAAAATCAGGCAAAGCAAGCATGGAGATTGAGTTGCTCACAGAATCACAGATTCATTCAGAAATCAATCTATCTGCCATTGGCTAGCTCAGTCTGTCACATAAAATTTGCTTGCAAGCAAACTCACAAAATTAACTCACAACACACCATGCATGTAAATATTGAATTTTTTATTTTAAAAAAGAGCAACTTTTACCCAAAATCAGGCAAAGCAGGCAGGCAGATTGAGTTGCTCACAGAATCACAGATTCATTCAGAAATCTTTCTATCTTCCATTGGCTAGCTCAGTCTGTCCCATAAAATTTGCTTGCAAGCAAACTCACAAAATTAACTCACAACACACCATGTACGTAAATATTGAATTTTTTATTTTAAAAAAGAGCAACTTTTATCCAAAATCATGCAAAACAGGCAGATTGAGTTGCTCACAGAATCATTCAGTGATCTATCTATCTGCCATTGGCTAGCTCAGTCTCTCAAATTTGCTTGCCTTGAGTCTGCACTGAATTTGCTTGCAAGCAAAACTTCAGTCCTAAGGGAGGTTCGGCTGTGCTTAGCTAGAAAGCAAGAAATCCAACCATTTCCTGCTTCCTAGCTAATCTAAATCTCCCAGCACAGCAGAACAGATGATGGTTGGAAAAAGGAAAAATAGCAACTTAGCAGACAAGTTTGCCAGGTAAGGAATGAGTGGGCGGGGAGGGTTCCCACAGGCCATGTGGGCTGAGCAGCCTTGTGTTTCTGCACAGCCTGGATTAATTGCTTGGGGG